TTCAAGCCTAAATATAAATAAAAACTGTGTTACTTTTCAGTCTTGAAATGAATAAATTAAAGAGATAAAACCATAAGAAACTAAAAGAACATAATGCATAAGTTCAACATTTACACTCTGCGGTGTCCCACTGCAAATCTTTCAGGAGTTGCTTCCAGCAGCGTCACATCAACCACCACATCGCATGTGTTAATGTGTATTTTATGGATAGAAAGACGAAAATATTTGATAATATAAGACATTATTCTTTAATTCCAGAAAGATTTTTTTTCTAAAACTACTGCAATATCATTCGGGAATAGAGTAGATGCGTCTACATCATGTGTAAAAAATAAAGTTAAATTGTTTTGCAAAACTAATAATAAAACTAAGAATGTCAAAGTTGAGGCCAAAATTGTTAGTGATAATTATTTATCATAATAAATGTATTATCCATACTAATATTATAAATGCGAAAGTGTGTTTGTTTCTTTGTTTGATTGTTTGCCCTTCTTTCACATCGCAACAGAGCGTCGGCATGGCATGATTTTGTGTATAGTTCGGTGACTGTAGAGTGACATAGACTACTTTTTCCGCGGAAAAAATCTACACCTCTACAGCTTCATTCCCGTGGAAAAATACTACACTAACAGCCTTCTTTCAACTTTGTCAAACCGACCCCTTTGCAAAAACGTTGTTATATTCTGAAGTCCCCCGCTATTATACTTGGAACACATCTAGGTAGGAGTGGAAACGCCGTATTCAAGGCGCGCCTGTTGCAAATTGGCCCGGTGTAAAGTCATCAGACGCCCTTGGTCGTGCGTATACCGTCCATGTAACTAATTTTGAATGTTTCTGTTTACGATTGCTGCTGCACCATGTTCGGGGTCCTACAGGATATAAAGACCTTAAAACTGTCAACGGTCAGGAATGCGCAACTTATAGAGAAGCATGTGAAGCACTGCATCTTTTAGAAAATGATAATCACTGGGATGAATACCATGGAGGAAGCTGTGCAGTGCTAGTCACCAGCCAAAATTAGGGATCTTTATGCAACTCCCATATCATCTTGCGGGCTATCTAATGCACATGAATTGTGGGACAAATATAAAGAGTACATGGCGGAAGATATTTTGCGAAGGTTACAGTAGACACACGCGAACATTACATACAATGAACACATTTATAATGAAGCACTTGGAAAAATTGAAGATAAAGTAATGGCAAAGGTAGGCAAAAATTAAGCGACTTTGGAATGATAAGCCCTCAGCGAACGACCGAAAATGAACTGTGATGAAATTATACGTGAAACAAACTACGTTATACCTGCTTTGCAGCAGCAAGTAGCCGAATTTGTACCCCGCTTGTTTTCCGAACAAAAACAAGTTTTTGACAAAGTATTAGGACAAATTGAATCTGAAAATGGTGCACTTTTCTTTTTAGATGCCCCTGGAGGAACTGGGAAGACATTTTTGTTAAATTTATTATTAGCGCAAGTACGGAAAGATAAAAACGTTGCTGTGGCCGTAGCTTCCTCCGGTATAGCCAACACGCTGCTAAGCGGGGGCCGCACTGCACATTCTGTTTTAAAACTTCCTCTAAATCTAGCCCAGGAAGAATCGCCGATCTGCATCTTTAGCAAAAATAGTGCACGAGGTTAGGTGCTATGACAATGCAAACTTTTAGTGTGGGACGAAAGTATAATGTCGCATAAAAAAGCTGTAGAAGCACTAAATCGAACGCTTCAGGATTTGCGCAGCAATACCGATGTAATGGGAGGAATGGTGGTTTTACTGGCAAAAGATCAAAGCATATTTTACTAATAAAGCAGGTTTTACTGGCAAACGATCAAAACATATTTTACTAATCCTGGTCACATATATTTAATTTTTATCGAAAGGGGTAAATTAATTATATTATTTATATTTAATATGAATATATTAAATATATAACATATTTTTATATAGAAGGGGGAGTGTTACAGTAGCTTGACGCTCTGCTTGTTCAAGACGCCTTTCCTGACTTTGAGAAGGTGTTTCGGAAGCTCTTAAAGCAGCCTGACGCTATGTCTGTTCAAGAGGCCTTTGCTGACGTTGAGAAGGTGTCCCAGATGCTCTGAAAGCAGCCTGACGCTCAGCTTGTTCTTGCCTTCTCAGTTCAGCATCTTCTAAAGATTCTAGCGATCGAGCTAATATTTTCGCCTGTCTTTGAGAAGATACTCTTGAAAGGCTGGACTTACGTTTGCGAGGCGTTATGAAGTTACAAAAAAAAAACGTTAAAATACCTAAAAGGAATTAAATTTCCTTTGAAATATTTTTTAAAAGCAAATCTAACATATCTATAAGGAATAAATATTCCTTATAAATATTTTTAAAATCAAAACAACGAAAATTAATTCACGATTCTAAATAAACAAAATTCAAAATCAAAGCCAGAGTCTAAATATGTATAAAGGAATACCAACCAAATCAACAAAACCGATCCAAGAAAATACACAAATCCGAAAATGAAAGCCAATATAAATCCATTCAACCTTAACCAAATCAAAAAGCAAATAGCAAACAACCGAAATCGAAAGCAGGTAGTCGAATAAGCTACGAAATAGAAACAATTTAAGTGTAACAAAGGTACCGTATGCACTATAAGTTGATGCGCGGCCCAACGGCGGGAGTTAAGTACATGTCAGGAAACATTTCGTTACCGCTTTTTAAAAACCTAGTAACGACATCTAGCAGAATTAATTTAAACTATGTAAACGTTAGTTAATAAAACTCTCAAAAATATTTTTCTTATAATTTTGCACAATTTTTCTTATTGTAATACCGATTCATTCGTAACCACATATAAGAACTGTATTCATTTTCGTTCAATAAATATTACTAAGGCTTATTAATAAGCCTTACTAAGAACTGTTTCTACCACAATTAAGTAATAGTTAAGGGTGAAAGCGTGACAGGTGGTGATAGTATTTCTGATCCATACTTATAATCACGCCTGTAACCCTTGCGGGGTAGGCAGAGCATCAACGGATTACTTAATATCGTCCGCGAGGTTATCGCCTATTCTGTGAATTACAATGCACCAAAAGGTTTGAAGAAAATCAGCTGGTGAATTTTATGTTTTTTATCGCTCTCTTCCCGGTCCTGCGTGGAAAAATACAGATCCATACAATTTTTTTCTTAATTTTGGTAAAAAGACATAATAATCCAGATATTCCGACCTTCTGGGTTCGTCCGTCGTACCGTCGTCCGTCTTGTAGAATCCTTGTAGTAGCCTATGTCACTCTACAGCCACCGAACCATCCCGATACAAAAAATCATGCCATGCCGACGCTCTGTTGCGACGTGAAAGAAGGACAAACTTTTGCAACATATTCTATTTTCCCACGGGAATGAGATGTTTTGCCAAAGGTGGAAGGTGGTTTTTTAGCAAAGGTGGAATATCAGTCATGGGTCGCGTTCGAGGAATTGTACTGTCATACTCGTATAAAACGTGAAATGATATTTCATCTTACAAATCGAATAACAAATGAATTTCCAAAATCAGCCACAATATCGCGACCTTCCTTACCACCTATAGAACTAGCGTCGTTTGATGGTGATATCCGCTCATGGTCGTTATTTTATGCAAGTTTTAAATCCACTGTATATGATAATCCGTCCCTATCGACGAGTCGGTAAGTCGGCGACGCAAGCGATGGTGCTAGCGTGGCAGTCGGCGACACAAGCAATCACTCGTCGTAACTCGTCGTCGTTAACTATGACGTATGGACGTTGAACATCTCAGTCCCGCCCGTGACCATGAGTAATGTAAAGCGTTCGAAACGTCGGGTATTTAAAAAGTTAAATATACGCGATAAATTCCGTAAAAACTAGTATTATTTCAACAATTAAAACAGGTTAAAAAAAACTCGAATTTGTGAAATGGTATTAAATTGTTTTAAAAAAAATCAGCTAAGTCTCATTTTAACGTTATAGACTAGTTGAATTGAGTGGTGAGAAATTGAAAAGTGAGAAACTGTGTGATAAAAGAAGAGTGTGGTTTGCAAGATGATGCGGTGACCAGGATTAAGAAAGGAATGCTTCGGTGGTTTGGTCATGTAGAAAGAACGAATGCGGAAAGACTGACAAAGCAAATATATGTTGCAAAAGTGAATGGAAGAGTCGGAAAGGGACGTCCTAGGCGGAAGTTTGTCGACCAAATTGGCAATATACAAAAAATGGGCCAAATTAAGAGTACCCTTAACCGACGAGCATGTATGCGTAGGTATATGGATATGGAAGAGGCGAGAAAGGTATGTCAGGATTGTGCTAAATGGAAGTCTGTAGTCTCTGCCTATCCCTCTGGGTGACAGGCGTGAGTGTTTATGTTTTATGTTTTTAGAATTGTGCCAATAAACCTTATTCCAGCTTTATCTACTTCAGCCTAAGGTTGAAAATTACTTCTGAAAAAAAAACTCAAATTTGTGAAATGGAAAAAATCAGCTAAGTCGCATTTTAACGTTATGGACTAGTTCAATCGTGCCAATATGTTTTATTTCACGAAAAAGTATATTCATAATATTATCTCTATGCCCATCTCCGGTTTTAGTTTCCCTCTGTCACCTCTTATGACACCCACCAGAATACTTGGTGGTTACGCGGAAACGATTCGTGTATTTTAATTTTGTTTGAGGGTATATTTTCCAAGGTTTTATCCATCCTTTGACCTAATGTCCCTTCCGTACACACTGAAAGGGGAAAGGGGGGAGTCTAGAAGGTGACGCGATTCTTTCGACCAATGAGAAGCGCGCCCGATCGAGGTGCTTAGTGCGAAAGCCGAGGCAATCACGATGTCGGCATCACGAGTGTTGCTGCCAGCGTGGCCGTCGGCGACGTAGGCGGTATTGCCAGCGTGGCATTCGGCGGCGCGAGCGTGGCTGTCGGCATCGCAAGTGATGATGCCAGCGTGGCAGTCGGCGACGCGAGCGAGCATCAGCGACGCAAGCGATGCTGCTAGCGTGGAAGTCGGCGACTACAGCGATGCTGCCAGCGTGGCAGTCGGCGACGCGAGTGATTCTGCCAGCGTGGCAGTCGGCGACTACAGCGATGCTGCCAGCGTGGCGGTCGGCGACGCAAGCGATGCTGCTAGCGTGGCAGTCGGTCGCGCGAGCAATGCTGCTAGCGTGGCAGTCAGCGACGCAAGCGATGCTGCTAGCGTGGCAGTCGGTAGCGCGAGCGTGGCTGTCGGCGGCTACACCGATGCTGCCAGTTTGGCTGTCGGCATCGCGAGTGATGCTGCCAGAGTGGCAGTCAGCGACTAAGGCGGTGCTGCCAGCGTGGCATTCGGCGACGCGAGCGTGGCTGTCGGCAACGCAAGCGATGCTGCTAGCGTGGCAGTCGGTGACGCGAGCAATGCTGCTAGCGTGGCAGTCAGCGACGCAAGCGATGCTGCTAGCGTCGCAGTCGGCGACTACAGCGATGCTGCCAGCGTGGCAGTCGGCGACGCAAGCGATGCTGCTAGCGTGGCAGTCGGTGGCGAGAGCAATGCTGCTAGCGTGGCAGTCAGCGAAGCAAGCGATGCTGCTAGCGTGGCAGTCAGTGGCGCGAGCGTGGCTGTCAGCGGCTACACCGATGCTGCCAGTTTGGCTGTCGGCGACAAAAGCGAAGATTCTAGCGTGGCAGTAGGTGGCGCGAGCGTGGCTGTCGTCGTCTACATCGATGCTGCCAGCGTGGCTGTCGGCATCGCGAGTGATGCTGCCAGCGTGGCTATCGGCGGCTACACCGATTCTGCCAGTTTGGCTGTCGGCATCGCGAGTGATGCTGCCAGCGTGGCAGTCAGCGACTTAGGCGGTGCTGCCTGCGCGGCATTCGGCGACGCGAGCGTGGCTGTCAGCAACGCAAGCGATGCTGCTAGCGTGGCAGTCGGTGGCGCGAGCGTGGCTGTCCCCGGCTACACCGATGCTGCCAGCGTGGCTGTCGGCATCACAAGTGATCCTGCCAGCGTGGCAGTCGGCGACGCGAGCGAGCATCAGCGACGCAAGCGATGCTGCTAGCGTGGCAGTCGGTGGCGCGAGCAATGCTGCTAGCGTGGCAGTGAGCGACGCAAGCGATGCTGCTAGCGTGGCAGTCGGTGGCGCGAGCGTGGCTGTCGGCGGCTACACCGATGCTGCCAGTTTGGCTGTCGGCATCGCGAGTGAAACTGCCAGCGTGGAAGTCGGCGACGCAGGCGGTGCTGCCAGCGTGGCATTCGGCGACGCGAGCGTGGCTGTCGGCAACGCAAGCGATGCTGCTAGCGTGGCAGTCGGTGGCGCGAGTGATGCTGCCAGCGTGGCAGTCAGCGACTTAGGCGGTGCTGCCAGCGTGGCTGTCGGCAACGCAAGCGATGCTGCTAGCGTGACAGTCCCCGGCTACACCGATTCTGCCAGCGTGGCTGTCGGCGTCACAAGTGATGCTGCAAGTGTGGCAGTCGGCGACTACAGCGATGCTGCCAGCGAGGCAGTCGGCAACACAAGCGATGCTGCTAGCGTGGCAGTCGGTGGCGCGAGCGTGGCTGTCGTCGGCTACAACGATGCTGCCAGCGTGGCTGTCGACATCGCGAGTGATGTTGCCAGCGTGGCAGCGGGCGACTACAGCGATACTGCCAGCGTAGCAGTCGGTAACGCAAGCGATGCTGCTAGCGTGGCAGTCGGTGGCGCGAGCGGGGCTGTCGGCGGCTACACCGATGTTGCCGGCAAGGCAGTCGGCGACTACAGCGATGCTGCCAGCGTGGAAGTCGGTAACGCAAGCGGTGCTGCTAGCGTGGCAGTCGGTAGCTACACCGATGCCGCCAGCGTGACTGTCGGCATCGCGAGTGTTGCTGCCAGCGTGGCAGACAGCGACTACAGCAATGCTGCCAGTGTGGCAGTCGGCATCGCGAGTGATACTGCCAGCGTGGCAGTGGGCGACTACAGCGATACTGCCAGCGTGGCAGTCGGTAACGCAAGCGATGCTGCTAGCGTGGCAGTCGGTGGCGCGAGCGTGGCTGTACCCGGCTACACCGATGCTGCTAGCGTGGCAGTCGGCATCGCAAGTGATGCTGCCAGCGTGGCAGTCGACGACTACACCGATGCTGCCTGTGTGGCTGTCGGTATCGCGAGTTTGCTTCCAGCGGGGCAGTCGGCGACTACAGCGATGCTGCCAGCGTGGCAGTCGACAACTACAGCGATGCTGCCAGCGTGGCTGTCGGCGACGCAAGCGGTGCTGCCAGCGTGGCATTCGGCGACGCGAACGTAGTTGTCGGCAACGCAAGCGATGCTGCTAGCGTGGCAGTCGGTTGCGCGAGCGTGGCTGTCCCCGGCTACACCGGCATCGCGAGTGATGCTGCCAGCGTGGCAGTCGGCGACTACAGCGATGCTGCCAGCGTGGCAGTCGGCAACTACAGCGATGCTGCCAGTGTGGCAGTCGGCGACGCAAGCGATGCTGCTAGCGTGGCAGTCGGTCGCGCGAGCAATGCTGCTAGCGTGGCTGTCGGCAACGCAAGCGATGCTGCTAGCGTGGCAGTCGGTGGCGCGAGCGTGGCTGTCGGCGGCTACACCGATGCTGCCAGTTTGGCTGTCGGCATCGCGAGTGACTGCCAGCGTGGCAGTCAGCGACTTAGGCGGTGCCGCCAGCGTGACATTCGGCGACGCGAGCGCGGCTGTCGGCAACGCAAGCGATGCTGCTAGCGTGGCAGTCGGTGGATCGAGCGTGGCTGTCCCCGGCTACACCGATGCTGCCAGCGTGGCTGTCGGCATCGCAAGTGATGCTGCCAGCGTGGCAGTCGGCGACTACAGCAATGCTGCCAGTGTGACAGTCGGCATCGCGAGTGATACTGCCAGCGTGGCAGTGGGCGACTACAGCGATACTGCCAGCGTGGCAGTCGGTAACGCAAGCGATGCTGCTAGCGTGGCAGTCGGTGGCAAGAGCGTGGCTGTCCCCGGCTACACCGATGCTGCCAGCGTGGCAGTCGGCGACTTCAGCGGTGCTGCCAGCGTGGCAGTCGGCGACTACAGCGATGCTACCAGCGTGGCAGTCGGTAACGCAAGCGATGCTGCCAGCGTGGCATTCGGCGACGCGAGCGTAGCTGTCGGCAACGCAAACGATGCTGCTAGCGTGGCAGTCGGTTGCGCGAGCGTGGCTGTCCCCGGCTACACCGATGCTGCCAGCGTGGCTGTCGGCATCGCGAGTGATGCTGCCAGCGTGGCAGTCGGCGACTACAGCGATGCTGCCAGCGTGGCAGTCGGCAACTACAGCGATGCTGCCAGTGTGCCAGTCGGCGACGCAAGCGATGCTGCTAGCGTGGCAGTCGGTCGCGCGAGCAATGCTGCTAGCGTGGCTGTCAGCGACACAAGCGATGCTGCTAACGTGGCAGTTGGTGGCGCGAGCGTGGCTGTTGGCGGCTACACCGATGCTGCCAGTTTGAATGTCGGCATCGCGAGTGATTCTGCCAGCGTGGCAGTCAGCGACTACAGCGTTGCTGCAAGCGAGGCAGTCGGCGACACAAGCGATGCTGCTAGCGTGGCAGTCGGTTGCGCGAGCGTGGCTGTCGTCGGTTACACCGATGCTGCCAACGTGGCTGTCGGCATCGCGAGTGATGCTGCCAGCGTGGCAGTGGGCGACTACAGCTATACTGCCAGCGTAGCAGTCAGCAACGCAAGCGATGCTGCTAGCGCGGCAGTCGGTGGCGCGAGCGGGACTGTCGGCGGCTACACCGATGCTGCCAACGTGGCTGTCGGCATCGCGAGTGATGCTGCCAGCGTGGCAGTGGGCGACTACAGCTATACTGCCAGCGTAGCAGTCAGCAACGCAAGCGATGCTGCTAGCGCGGCAGTCGGTGGCGCGAGCGGGGCTGTCGGCGGCTACACCGATGTTGCCGGCAAGGCAGTCGGCGACTACAGCGATGCTGCCAGCGTGGAAGTCGGTAACGCAAGCGGTGCTGCTAGCGTGGCAGTCGGTAGCTACACCGATGCCGCCAGCGTGACTGTCGGCATCGCGAGTGTTGCTGCCAGCGTGGCAGACAGCGACTACAGCAATGCTGCCAGTGTGGCAGTCGGCATCGCGAGTGATACTGCCAGCGTGGCAGTGGGCGACTACAGCGATACTGCCAGCGTGGCAGTCGGTAACGCAAGCGATGCTGCTAGCGTGGCAGTCGGTGGCGCGAGCGTGGCTGTACCCGGCTACACCGATGCTGCTAGCGTGGCAGTCGGCATCGCAAGTGATGCTGCCAGCGTGGCAGTCGACGACTACACCGATGCTGCCTGTGTGGCTGTCGGTATCGCGAGTTTGCTTCCAGCGGGGCAGTCGGCGACTACAGCGATGCTGCCAGCGTGGCAGTCGACAACTACAGCGATGCTGCCAGCGTGGCTGTCGGCGACGCAAGCGGTGCTGCCAGCGTGGCATTCGGCGACGCGAACGTAGTTGTCGGCAACGCAAGCGATGCTGCTAGCGTGGCAGTCGGTTGCGCGAGCGTGGCTGTCCCCGGCTACACCGGCATCGCGAGTGATGCTGCCAGCGTGGCAGTCGGCGACTACAGCGATGCTGCCAGCGTGGCAGTCGGCAACTACAGCGATGCTGCCAGTGTGGCAGTCGGCGACGCAAGCGATGCTGCTAGCGTGGCAGTCGGTCGCGCGAGCAATGCTGCTAGCGTGGCTGTCGGCAACGCAAGCGATGCTGCTAGCGTGGCAGTCGGTGGCGCGAGCGTGGCTGTCGGCGGCTACACCGATGCTGCCAGTTTGGCTGTCGGCATCGCGAGTGACTGCCAGCGTGGCAGTCAGCGACTTAGGCGGTGCCGCCAGCGTGACATTCGGCGACGCGAGCGCGGCTGTCGGCAACGCAAGCGATGCTGCTAGCGTGGCAGTCGGTGGATCGAGCGTGGCTGTCCCCGGCTACACCGATGCTGCCAGCGTGGCTGTCGGCATCGCAAGTGATGCTGCCAGCGTGGCAGTCGGCGACTACAGCAATGCTGCCAGTGTGACAGTCGGCATCGCGAGTGATACTGCCAGCGTGGCAGTGGGCGACTACAGCGATACTGCCAGCGTGGCAGTCGGTAACGCAAGCGATGCTGCTAGCGTGGCAGTCGGTGGCAAGAGCGTGGCTGTCCCCGGCTACACCGATGCTGCCAGCGTGGCAGTCGGCGACTTCAGCGGTGCTGCCAGCGTGGCAGTCGGCGACTACAGCGATGCTACCAGCGTGGCAGTCGGTAACGCAAGCGATGCTGCCAGCGTGGCATTCGGCGACGCGAGCGTAGCTGTCGGCAACGCAAACGATGCTGCTAGCGTGGCAGTCGGTTGCGCGAGCGTGGCTGTCCCCGGCTACACCGATGCTGCCAGCGTGGCTGTCGGCATCGCGAGTGATGCTGCCAGCGTGGCAGTCGGCGACTACAGCGATGCTGCCAGCGTGGCAGTCGGCAACTACAGCGATGCTGCCAGTGTGCCAGTCGGCGACGCAAGCGATGCTGCTAGCGTGGCAGTCGGTCGCGCGAGCAATGCTGCTAGCGTGGCTGTCAGCGACACAAGCGATGCTGCTAACGTGGCAGTTGGTGGCGCGAGCGTGGCTGTTGGCGGCTACACCGATGCTGCCAGTTTGAATGTCGGCATCGCGAGTGATTCTGCCAGCGTGGCAGTCAGCGACTACAGCGTTGCTGCAAGCGAGGCAGTCGGCGACACAAGCGATGCTGCTAGCGTGGCAGTCGGTTGCGCGAGCGTGGCTGTCGTCGGTTACACCGATGCTGCCAACGTGGCTGTCGGCATCGCGAGTGATGCTGCCAGCGTGGCAGTGGGCGACTACAGCTATACTGCCAGCGTAGCAGTCAGCAACGCAAGCGATGCTGCTAGCGCGGCAGTCGGTGGCGCGAGCGGGACTGTCGGCGGCTACACCGATGCTGCCAGCGTGGCTGTCGGCATCGCGAGTGATGCTTCCAGCGTGGCAGTCGGCGACTTCAGCGGTGCTGCCCGCGTGGCAATCGGTAACGCAAGCGATGCTGCTAGCGTGGCAGTCGGTGGCGCGAGCGGGGCTGTCAGCGACGCAAGCGATGCTGCTAACGTGGCAGTCAGCGACTACAGAGATGCTGCCAGCGTGGCAGTCGGCGACTACAGCGATGCTGCCAGCGAGGCAGTCGGCGACACAAGCGATGCTGCTAGCGTGGGAGTCGGTGGCGCGAGCGTGGCTGTCGTCGGCTACACCGATGCTGCCAGCGGGGCTGTCGGCATCGCGAGTGATGTTTCCAGCGTGGCAGTCGGCGACTACAGCAATGCTGCCAGCGAGACAGTCGGCATCGCAAGTGATGCTGCCAGCGTGGCAGTCGGAATCGCAAGTGATGCAGCCAGCGTGGCAGTCCACGACTACAGCGATGCTGCCAGCGAGGCAGTCGGCGACACAAGCGATGCTGCTAGCGTGGGAGTCGGTGGCGCGAGCGTGGCTGTCCCCGGCTACACCGATGCTGCCAGCGTGGCAGTCGGAATCGCAAGTGATGCAGCCAGCGTGGCAGTCCACGACTACAGCGATGCTGCCAGCGAGGCAGTCGGCGACACAAGCGATGCTGCTAGCGTGGGAGTCGGTGGCGCGAGCGTGGCTGTCGTCGGCTACATCGATGCTGGCAGCGTGGCTGTCGGCATCGCGAGTGATGTTGCCAGCGTGGCAGTCGGCGACTACAGCAATGCTGCCAGGGGAGGCAGTCGGCGACACAAGCGATGCTGCTAATGTGGCAGTCGGTGGCGCGAGCAATGCTGCTAGCGTGGCAGTCAGCGACTACAGCGATGCTGCCAGCGTGGCAGTCAGCGAAGCAAGCGATGCTGCTAGCGTGGCAGTCAGCGACTACAGCGATGCTGCCAGCGTGGCAGTCGGCGACGCAAGCGATGCTGCTAGCGTGGCAATCGGTGGCGCGAGCAATGCTGCTAGCGTGGCAGTCGGCGACGGAAGCGATGCTGCTAGCGAGGCAGTCAGCGACTACAGCGATGCTGCCAGCGTGGCAGTCGGTGGCGCGAGCAATGCTGCTAGCGTGGCAGGCAGCGACGCAAGCGATGCTGCCAGCGTAGCAGTCAGCGACAAAAGCGAAGCTTCTAGCGTGGCAGTCGGTGGCGCGAGCAATGCTGCCAGCGTAGCAGTCAGCAGCAAGCGAGCGGGGCTGTCGGCGGCTACACCGATGCTGCCAGCGTGGCTGTCGGCATCGCGAGTGATGCTTCCAGCGTGGCAGTCGGCGACTTCAGCGGTGCTGCCCGCGTGGCAGTCGGTAACGCAAGCGATGCTGCTAGCGTGGGAGTCGGTGGCGCGAGCGTGGCTGTCGTCGACTACACCGATGCTGCCAGCGTTGCTGTCGGCATCGCGAGTGATGTTGCCAGCGTGGCAGTCGGCGACTACAGCAATGCTGCTAGCGAGGCAGTCGGCGACACAAGCGATGCTGCTAACGTGGCAGTTGGTGGCGCGAGCGTGGCTGTTGGCGGCTACACCGATGCTGCCAGTTTGAATGTCGGCATCGCGAGTGATGCTGCCAGCGTGGCAGTCAGCGACTACAGCGTTGCTGCAAGCGAGGCAGTCGGCGACACAAGCGATGCTGCTAGCGTGGCAGTCGGTTGCGCGAGCGTGGCTGTCGTCGGTTACACCGATGCTGCCGACGTGGCTGTCGGCATCGCGAGTGATGCTGCCAGCGTGGCAGTGGGCGACTACAGCTATACTGCCAGCGTAGCAGTCAGCAACGCAAGCGATGCTGCTAGCGCGGCAGTCGGTGGCGCGAGCGGGGCTGTCGGCGGCTACACCGATGCTGCCAGCGTAGCTGTCGGCATCGCGAGTGATGCTTCCAGCGTGGCAGTCGGCGACTTCAGCGGTGCTGCCCGCGTGGCAATCGGTAACGCAAGCGATGCTGCTAGCGTGGCAGTCGGTGGCGCGAGCGGGGCTGTTGGCGGCTATACCGATGCTGACGGCGTGGCAGTCGGCGACTACAGCGATGCTGCCAGCGTGGCAGTCGGTAACGCAAGCGATGCTGCTAGCGTGGCAGTCGGTGGCGCGAGCGGGGCTGTTGGCGGCTACACCGATGCTGCCGGGGTGGCAGTCGGCTACTACAGCGATGCTGCCAGCGTGGCAGTCGGTAACGCAAGCGATGCTGCCAGCGTGGCAGTCGGTGGCGCGAGCAATACTGCTAGCGTGGCAGTCAGCGACGCGAGCGATGCTGCTAGCGTGGCAGTCAGCGACTACAGCGATGCTGCCAGCGTGGCAGTCGACAACTACAGCGATGCTGCCAGCGTGGCTGTCGGCGACGCAAGCGGTGCTGCCAGCGTGGCATTCGGCGACGCGAACGTAGTTGTCGGCAACGCAAGCGATGCTGCTAGCGTGGCAGTCGGTTGCGCGAGCGTGGCTGTCCCCGGCTACACCGATGCTGCCAGCGTGGCAGTCGGCGACTACAGCGATGCTGCCAGCGTGGCAGTCGGCAACTACAGCGATGCTGCCAGTGTGGCAGTCGGCGACGCAAGCGATGCTGCTAGCGTGGCAGTCGGTCGCGCGAGCAATGCTGCTAGCGTGGCTGTCGGCAACGCAAGCGATGCTGCTAGCGTGGCAGTCGGTGGCGCGAGCGTGGCTGTCGGCGGCTACACCGATGCTGCCAGTTTGGCTGTCGGCATCGCGAGTGACTGCCAGCGTGGCAGTCAGCGACTTAGGCGGTGCCGCCAGCGTGACATTCGGCGACGCGAGCGCGGCTGTCGGCAACGCAAGCGATGCTGCTAGCGTGGCAGTCGGTGGATCGAGCGTGGCTGTCCCCGGCTACACCGATGCTGCCAGCGTGGCTGTCGGCATCGCAAGTGATGCTCTGCCAGCGTGGCAGTCGGCGACTACAGCAATGCTGCCAGTGTGACAGTCGGCATCGCGAGTGATACTGCCAGCGTGGCAGTGGGCGACTACAGCGATACTGCCAGCGTGGCAGTCGGTAACGCAAGCGATGCTGCTAGCGTGGCAGTCGGTGGCAAGAGCGTGGCTGTCCCCGGCTACACCGATGCTGCCAGCGTGGCAGTCGGCGACTACACCGATGCTGCCGGTGTGGCTGTCGGCATTGCGAGTGTGCTTCCAGCGTGGCAGTCGGCGACTTCAGCGGTGCTGCCAGCGTGGCAGTCGGCGACTACAGCGATGCTACCAGCGTGGCAGTCGGTAACGCAAGCGATGCTGCCAGCGTGGCATTCGGCGACGCGAGCGTAGCTGTCGGCAACGCAAACGATGCTGCTAGCGTGGCAGTCGGTTGCGCGAGCGTGGCTGTCCCCGGCTACACCGATGCTGCCAGCGTGGCTGTCGGCATCGCGAGTGATGCTGCCAGCGTGGCAGTCGGCGACTACAGCGATGCTGCCAGCGTGGCAGTCGGCAACTACAGCGATGCTGCCAGTGTGCCAGTCGGCGACGCAAGCGATGCTGCTAGCGTGGCAGTCGGTCGCGCGAGCAATGCTGCTAGCGTGGCTGTCAGCAACGCAAGCGATGCTGCTAGCGTGGCAGTCGGTGGCGCGAGCGTGGCTGTCGGCGGCTACACCGATGCTGCCAGTTTGGCTGTCGGCATCACGAGTGATGCTGCCAGCGTGGCAGTCAGCGACTTAGGCGGTGCTGCCAGCGTGGCATTCGGCGACGCGAGCGTGGCTGTCGGCAACGCAAGCGATGCTGCTAGCGTGGCAGTCGGTGGCGCGAGCAATGCTGCTAGCGTGGCAGTCAGCGACGCAAGCGATGCTGCTAGCGTCGCAGTCGGCGACTACAGCGATGCTGCCAGCGTGGCAGTCGGCGACGCAAGCGATTCTGTCGGCGGCTACGACGATGCTGCCAGCGTGGCAGTCGGCATCGCAAGTGATGCTGCTAGCGTGGCAGTCGGTGAGGCGAGCGGGCCTGTCGGCGGCTATACCGATCCTGCCGGCGTGGCAGTCGGCGACTGCAGCGATGCTGCCAGCGCGGAAGTCGGTAACGCAAGCGATTCTGCTAACGTGGCAGTCGGTGGCACGAGCAATGCTGCTAGCGTGGCAGTCAGCGACGCAAGCGATGCTGCTAGCGTGGCAGTTAGCGACTACAGCGATGCTGCCAGCGTGGCAGTCGGCGACGCAAGCGATGCTGCTAGCGTGGCAGTCGGTGGCGCAAGCGATGCTGCTAGCATGGCAGTCGGCGACGGAAGCGATGCTGCTAGCGAGGCAGTCAGCGACTACAGCGATGCTGCCAGCGTGGCAGTCGGTGGCGCGAGCGATGCTGCTAGCGTGGCAGGCAGCGACGCAAGCGATGCTGCCAGCGTAGCAGTCAGCGACAAAAGCGAAGCTTCTAGTTCGGTGGCGCGAGCAATGCTGCCAGCGTAGCAGTCAGCAGCAAGCGAGCGGGGCTGTCGGCGGCTACACCGATGCTGCCAGCGTGGCTGTCGGCATCGCGAGTGATGCTTCCAGCGTGGCAGTCGGCGACTTCAGCGGTTCTGCCCGCGTGGCAGTCGGTAACGCAAGCGATGCTGCTAGCGTGGGAGTCGGTGGCGCGAGCGTGGCTGTCGTCGACTACACCGATGCTGCCAGCGTTGCTGTCGGCATCGCGAGTGATGTTGCCAGCGTGGCAGTCGGCGACTACAGCAATGCTGCTAGCGAGGCAGTCGGCGACACAAGCGATGCTGCTAACGTGGCAGTTGGTGGCGCGAGCGTGGCTGTTGGCGGCTACACCGATGCTGCCAGTTTGAATGTCGGCATCGCGAGTGATTCTGCCAGCGTGGCAGTCAGCGACTACAGCGTTGCTGCAAGCGAGGCAGTCGGCGACACAAGCGATGCTGCTAGCGTGGCAGTCGGTTGCGCGAGCGTGGCTGTCGTCGGTTACACCGATGCTGCCAACGTGGCTGTCGGCATCGCGAGTGATGCTGCCAGCGTGGCAGTGGGCGACTACAGCTATACTGCCAGCGTAGCAGTCAGCAACGCAAGCGATGCTGCTAGCGCGGCAGTCGGTGGCGCGAGCGGGACTGTCGGCGGCTACACCGATGCTGCCAGCGTGGCTGTCGGCATCGCGAGTGATGCTTCCAGCGTGGCAGTCGGCGACTTCAGCGGTGCTGCCCGCGTGGCAATCGGTAACGCAAGCGATGCTGCTAGCGTGGCAGTCGGTGGCGCGAGCGGGGCTGTCAGCGACGCAAGCGATGCTGCTAACGTGGCAGTCAGCGACTACAGAGATGCTGCCAGCGTGGCAGTCGGCGACTACAGCGATGCTGCCAGCGAGGCAGTCGGCGACACAAGCGATGCTGCTAGCGTGGGAGTCGGTGGCGCGAGCGTGGCTGTCGTCGGCTACACCGATGCTGCCAGCGGGGCTGTCGGCATCGCGAGTGATGTTTCCAGCGTGGCAGTCGGCGACTACAGCAATGCTGCCAGCGAGACAGTCGGCATCGCAAGTGATGCTGCCAGCGTGGCAGTCGGAATCGCAAGTGATGCAGCCAGCGTGGCAGTCCACGACTACAGCGATGCTGCCAGCGAGGCAGTCGGCGACACAAGCGATGCTGCTAGCGTGGGAGTCGGTTGCGCGAGCGTGGCTGTCGTCGGTTACACCGATGCTGCCAACGTGGCTGTCGGCATCGCGAGTGATGCTGCCAGCGTGGCAGTGGGCGACTACAGCTATACTGCCAGCGTAGCAGTCAGCAACGCAAGCGATGCTGCTAGCGCGGCAGTCGGTGGCGCGAGCGGGACTGTCGGCGGCTACACCGATGCTGCCAGCGTGGCTGTCGGCATCGCGAGTGATGCTTCCAGCGTGGCAGTCGGCGACTTCAGCGGTGCTGCCCGCGTGGCAATCGGTAACGCAAGCGATGCTGCTAGCGTGGCAGTCGGTGGCGCGAGCGGGGCTGTCAGCGACGCAAGCGATGCTGCTAACGTGGCAGTCAGCGACTACAGAGATGCTGCCAGCGTGGCAGTCGGCGACTACAGCGATGCTGCCAGCGAGGCAGTCGGCGACACAAGCGATGCTGCTAGCGTGGGAGTCGGTGGCGCGAGCGTGGCTGTCGTCGGCTACACCGATGCTGCCAGCGGGGCTGTCGGCATCGCGAGTGATGTTTCCAGCGTGGCAGTCGGCGACTACAGCAATGCTGCCAGCGAGACAGTCGGCATCGCAAGTGATGCTGCCAGCGTGGCAGTCGGAATCGCAAGTGATGCAGCCAGCGTGGCAGTCCACGACTACAGCGATGCTGCCAGCGAGGCAGTCGGCGACACAAGCGATGCTGCTAGCGTGGGAGTCGGTGGCGCGAGCGTGGCTGTCCCCGGCTACACCGATGCTGCCAGCGTGGCAGTCGGAATCGCAAGTGATGCAGCCAGCGTGGCAGTCCACGACTACAGCGATGCTGCCAGCGAGGCAGTCGGCGACACAAGCGATGCTGCTAGCGTGGGAGTCGGTGGCGCGAGCGTGGCTGTCGTCGGCTACATCGATGCTGGCAGCGTGGCTGTCGGCATCGCGAGTGATGTTGCCAGCGTGGCAGTCGGCGACTACAGCAATGCTGCCAGGGAGGCAGTCGGCGACACAAGCGATGCTGCTAATGTGGCAGTCGGTGGCGCGAGCAATGCTGCTAGCGTGGCAGTCAGCGACTACAGCGATGCTGCCAGCGTGGCAGTCGGCGACGCAAGCGATGCTGCTAACTTGGCAGTCGGTGGCACGAGCAATGCTGCTAGCGTGGCAGTCAGCGACGCAAGTGATGCTGCTAGCGTGGCAGTCGGTGAGGCGAGCGGGCCTGTCGGCGGCTATACCGATCCTGCCGGCGTGGCAGTCGGCGACTGCAGCGATGCTGCCAGCGCGGAAGTCGGTAACGCAAGCGATTCTGCTAACGTGGCAGTCGGTGGCACGAGCAATGCTGCTAGCGTGGCAGTCAGCGACGCAAGCGATGCTGCTAGCGTGGCAGTCAGCGACTACAGCGATGCTGCCAGCGTGGCAGTCGGCGACGCAAGCGATGCTGCTAGCGTGGCAATCGGTGGCGCGAGCAATGCTGCTAGCGTGGCAGTCGGCGACGGAAGCGATGCTGCTAGCGAGGCAGTCAGCGACTACAGCGATGCTGCCAGCGTGGCAGTCGGTGGCGCGAGCAATGCTGCTAGCGTGGCAGGCAGCGACGCAAGCGATGCTGCCAGCGTAGCAGTCAGCGACAAAAGCGAAGCTTCTAGCGTGGCAGTCGGTGGCGCGAGCAATGCTGCCAGCGTAGCAGTCAGCAGCAAGCGAGCGGGGCTGTCGGCGGCTACACCGATGCTGCCAGCGTGGCTGTCGGCATCGCGAGTGATGCTTCCAGCGTGGCAGTCGGCGACTTCAGCGGTGCTGCCCGCGTGGCAGTCGGTAACGCAAGCGATGCTGCTAGCGTGGGAGTCGGTGGCGCGAGCGTGGCTGTCGTCGACTACACCGATGCTGCCAGCGTTGCTGTCGGCATCGCGAGTGATGTTGCCAGCGTGGCAGTCGGCGACTACAGCAATGCTGCTAGCGAGGCAGTCGGCGACACAAGCGATGCTGCTAACGTGGCAGTTGGTGGCGCGAGCGTGGCTGTTGGCGGCTACACCGATGCTGCCAGTTTGAATGTCGGCATCGCGAGTGATGCTGCCAGCGTGGCAGTCAGCGACTACAGCGTTGCTGCAAGCGAGGCAGTCGGCGACACAAGCGATGCTGCTAGCGTGGCAGTCGGTTGCGCGAGCGTGGCTGTCGTCGGTTACACCGATGCTGCCGACGTGGCTGTCGGCATCGCGAGTGATGCTGCCAGCGTGGCAGTGGGCGACTACAGCTATACTGCCAGCGTAGCAGTCAGCAACGCAAGCGATGCTGCTAGCATGGCAGTCGGTGACGCAAGCGATGCTGCTAATGTGGCAGTCGGTGGCGCGAGCAATGATGCTAGCGTGGCAGTCAGCGACTACAGCGATGCTGCCAGCGTGGCAGTCGGCGACGCAAGCGATGCTGCTAACTTGGCAGTCGGTGGCGCGAGCAATGCTGCTAGCGTGGCAGTCAGCGACGCAAGCGATGCTGCTAGCGTGGCAGTCGGTGGCGCGAGCAATACTGCTAGCGTGGCAGTCAGCGACGCAAGCGATGCTGCTAGCGTGGCAGTCAGCGACTACAGAGATGCTGCCAGCGTGGCAGTCGGCGACTACAGCGATGCTGCCAGCGAGGCAGTCGGCGACACAAGCGATGCTGCTAGCGTGGGAGTCGGTGGCGCGAGCGTGGCTGTCGTCGGCTACACCGATGCTGCCAGCGGGGCTGTCGGCATCGCGAGTGATGTTTCCAGCGTGGCAGTCGGCGACTACAGCAATGCTGCTAGCGAGACAGTCGGCATCGCAAGTGATGCTGCCAGCGTGGCAGTCGGCGGCTACAGCGATGCTGCCAGCGAGGCAGTCGGCGACACAACCGATGCTGCTAGCGTGGGAGTCGGTGGCGCGAGCGTGGCTGTCGTCGGCTACATCGATGCTGGCAGCGTGGCTGTCGGCATCGCGAGTGATGTTGCCAGCGTGGCAGTCGGCGACTACAGCAATGCTGCCAGGGGAGGCAGTCGGCGACACAAGCGATGCTGCTAATGTGGCAGTCGGTGGCGCGAGCAATGCTGCTAGCGTGGCAGTCAGCGACTACAGCGATGCTGCCAGCGTGGCAGTCGGCGACGCAAGCGATGCTGCTAACTTGGCAGTCGGTGGCGCGAGCAATGCTGCTAGCGTGGCAGTCAGCGACGCAAGCGATGCTGCTAGCGTGGCAGTCGGTGGCGCGAGCAATACTGCTAGCGTGGCAGTCAGCGACGCAAGTGATGCTGCTAGCGTGGCAGTCGGTGAGGCGAGCGGGCCTGTCGGCGGCTATATCGATCCTGCCGGCGTGGCAGTCGGCGACTGCAGCGATGCTGCCAGCGCGGAAGTCGGTAACGCAAGCGATTCTGCTAACGTGGCAGTCGGTGGCACGAGCAATGCTGCTAGCGTGGCAGTCAGCGACGCAAGCGATGCTGCTAGCGTGGCAGTCAGCGACTACAGCGATGCTGCCAGCGTGGCAGTCGGCGACGCAAGCGATGCTGCTAGCGTGCCAATCGGTGGCGCGAGCAATGCTGCTAGCGTGGCAGTCGGCGACGGAAGCGATGCTGCTAGCGAGGCAGTCAGCGACTACAGCGATGCTGCCAGCGTGGCAGTCGGTGGCGCGAGCAATGCTGCTAGCGTGGCAGGCAGCGACGCAAGCGATGCTGCCAGCGTAGCAGTCAGCGACAAAAGCGAAGCTTCTAGCGTGGCAGTCGGTGGCGCGAGCAATGCTGCCAGCGTAGCAGTCAGCAGCAAGCGAGCGGGGCTGTCGGCGGCTACACCGATGCTGCCAGCGTGGCTGTCGGCATCGCGAGTGATGCTTCCAGCGTGGCAGTCGGCGACTTCAGCGGTGCTGCCCGCGTGGCAGTCGGTAACGCAAACGATGCTGCTAGCGTGGGAGTCGGTGGCGCGAGCGTGGCTGTCGTCGACTACACCGATGCTGCCAGCGTTGCTGTCGGCATCGCGAGTGATGTTGCCAGAGTGGCAGTCGGCGACTACAGCAATGCTGCTAGCGAGGCAGTCGGCGACACAAGCGATGCTGCTAACGTGGCAGTTGGTGGCGCGAGCGTGGCTGTTGGCGGCTACACCGATGCTGCCAGTTTGAATGTCGGCATCGCGAGTGATGCTGCCAGCGTGGCAGTCAGCGACTACAGCGTTGCTGCAAGCGAGGCAGTCGGCGACACAAGCGATGCTGCTAGCGTGGCAGTCGGTTGCGCGAGCGTGGCTGTCGTCGGTTACACCGATGCTGCCAACGTGGCTGTCGGTATCGCGAGTGATGCTGCCAGCGTGGCAGTGGGCGACTACAGCTATACTGCCAGCGTAGCAGTCAGCAACGCAAGCGATGCTGCTAGCGCGGCAGTCGGTGGCGCGAGCGGGGCTGTCGGCGGCTACACCGATGCTGCCAGCGTGGCTGTCGGCATCGCGAGTGATGCTTCCAGCGTGGCAGTCGGCGACTTCAGCGGTGCTGCCCGCGTGGCAATCGGTAACGCAAGCGATGCTGCTAGCGTGGCAGTCGGTGGCGCGAGCGGGGCTGTTGGCGGCTACACCGATGCTGACGGCGTGGCAGTCGGCGACTACAGCGATGCTGCCAGCGTGGCAGTCGGTAACGCAAGCGATGCTGCTAGCGTGGCAGTCGGTGGCGCGAGCGGGGCTGTTGGCGGCTACACCGATGCTGCCGGGGTGGCAGTCGGCTACTACAGCGATGCTGCCAGCGTGGCAGTCGGTAACGCAAGCGATGCTGCCAGCGTGGCAGTCGGTGGCGCGAGCAATACTGCTAGCGTGGCAGTCAGCGACGCGAGCGATGCTGCTAGCGTGGCAGTCAGCGACTACAGCGATGCTGCCAGCGTGGCAGTCGGCGACGCAAGCGATGCTGCTAATGTGGCAGTCGGTGGCGCGAGCAATGATGCTAGCGTGGCAGTCAGCGACTACAGCGATGCTGCCAGCGTAGTAGTCGGCGACGCAAGCGATGCTGCTAACTTGGCAGTCGGTGGCGCGAGCAATGCTGCTAGCGTGGCAGTCAGCGACGCAAGCGATGCTGCTAGCGTGGCAGTCGGTGGCGCGAGCAATACTGCTAGCGTGGCAGTCAGCGACGCAAGCGATGCTGCTAGCGTGGCAGTCAGCGACTACAGAGATGCTGCCAGCGTGGCAGTCGGCGACTACAGCGATGCTGCCAGCGAGGCAGTCGGCGACACAAGCGATGCTGCTAGCGTGGGAGTCGGTGGCGCGAGCGTGGCTGTCGTCGGCTACACCGATGCTGCCAGCGGGGCTGTCGGCATCGCGAGTGATGTTTCCAGCGTGGCAGTCGGCGACTACAGCAATGCTGCCAGCGAGACAGTCGGCATCGCAAGTGATGCTGCCAGCGTGGCAGTCGGCGGCTACAGCGATGCTGCCAGCGAGGCAGTCGGCGACACAAGCGATGCTGCTAGCGTGGGAGTCGGTGGCGCGAGCGTGGCTGTCGTCGGCTACATCGATGCTGGCAGCGTGGCTGTCGGCATCGCGAGTGATGTTGCCAGCGTGGCAGTCGGCGACTACAGCAATGCTGCCAGGGAGGCAGTCGGCGACACAAGCGATGCTGCTAGCGTGGCAGTCGGTGGCGCGAGCGTGGCTGTTGGCGGCTACACCGATGCTGCCAGTTTGGCTGTCGGCATCGCGAGTGATGCTGCCAGCGTGGCAGTCAGCGACTACAGCGTTGCTGCAAGCGAGGCAGTCGGCGACACAAGCGATGCTGCTAGCGTGGCAGTCGGTTGCGCGAGCGTGGCTGTCGTCGGCTACACCGATGCTGCCAACGTGGCTGTCGGCATCGCGAGTGATGCTGCCAGCGTGGCAGTAGGCGACTACAGCGATACTGCCAGCGTAGCAGTCAGTAACGCAAGCGATGCTGCTAGCGTGGCAGTCGGTGGCGCGAGCGATGCTTCCAGCGTGGCAGTCGGCGACTTCAGCGGTGCTGCCCGCGTGGCAGTCGGTAACGCAAGCGATGCTGCTAGCGTGGCAGTCGGTGGCGCGAGCGGGGCTTTTGGCGGCTACACCGATGCTGCCGGCGTGGCAGTCGGCGACTACAGCGATGCTGCCAGCGTGGCAGTCGGTAACGCAAGCGATGCTGCCAGCGAGGCAGTCGGCGACAAAAGCGATGCTGCTAGCGTGGGAGTCGGTGGCGCGAGCGTGGCTGTCCCCGGCTACACCGATGCTGCCAGCGTGGCAGTCGGAATCGCAAGTGATGCAGCCAGCGTGGCAGTCCACGACTACAGCGATGCTGCCAGCGAGGCAGTCGGCGACACAAGCGATGCTGCTAGCGTGGGCGTCGGTGACGCGAGCGTGGCTGTCGTCGGCTACACCGATGCTGCCAGCGTGGCTGTCGGCATCGCGAGTGATGTTGCCAGCGTGGCAGTCGGTGACTACAGAAATGCTGCCAGCGAGGCAGTCGGCATCGCAAGTGATGCTTCCAGCGTGGCAGTCGGCGACTACAGCGATGCTGCTAGCATGGCAGTCGGTGACGCAAGCGATGCTGCTAGCGTGGCAGTCGGTGGCGCGAGCGTTGCTGTCGGCGGCTACACCGATGCTGCCAGCGTGGCTGTCGGCATCGCGAGTGATACCGCCAGCGTGGCAGTCCGCGACGACAGCGATGCTGCCCGCGTGGCAGTCGGTAACGCAAGCGATGCTGCTAGCGTGGCAGTCGGTGGCGCGAGCGGGGCTGTTGGCGGCTACACCGATGCTGCCGGCGTGGCTGTCGGCATCGCTAGTGATGCTTCCAGCGTGGCAGTCGGCGACTTCAGCGGTGCTGCCCGCGTGGCAGTCGGTAAGGCAAGCGATGCTGCTAGCGTGGCAGTCGGTGGCGCGAGCGGGGCTGTTGGCGGCTACACCGATGCTGCCGGCGTGGCAGTCGGCGACTACAGCGATGCTGCCAGCGTGGCAGTCGGTAACGCAAGCGATGCTGCCAGCGTGGCAGTCGGTAACGCAAGCGATGCTGCCAGCGTGGCAGTCGACGACTACAGCGATGCTGCCAGCGTGGCAGTCGGCGGCTACACCGATGCTGCCAGCGTGGCTGTCGGCGACGCAAGCGGTGCTGCCAGCGTGGCAGTCGCCGACGCGAGCGTGGCTGTCGGCGACGCAAGCGGTGCTGCCAGCGTGGCAGTTGGCGTCGAAAGTGGTGCTGCCAGCGTGGCTGTCGGTGACGTGATCAATAACGTCAACTCTGTCGAACCTGAGAAGAGCACTAAAAACACAATTGTTGATAGTTACAAAAGTTTCGTATAATAAATAGATAACCGTGTTTATAAATATATAAATCAAGCAATATTAAAGCAGTATTGAATTTGGCGAGACAAGCGAAGCTTCGGAGCGAAATAAAGTGAATCAGTGTGATTAGTTATTAGTGTTTTAAGTTTTAATTGGTGTGCGGTAATAAAAGTGTAAATTTTGGTAATTCAATCGGCAGTTTTTATTGTCACGAACCTCAAGCTCGTAACAATCGGACGCCGATAAATTGTATTACCTGCTAGGTAAATTAACAACCAAAACGCATTCTGTGTTCGCCGGTATTACTCCTTGTGCTGAGAATTACGAACTTATCTTGAATACGCTTATAGAGAAGTATGATGATAAACCCATCACTCACCAATGAAGCCTCTGTCTATCGCGCATCTCGAGCTCTGTGCTGCCGAATTACTAGCAAGACTAATTAGGCGCGTGCACGACACCTACGATTCACGTTATCGTATTAGTGAGATGTACGCGTTTACAGACTCAATAGTCACACTTTATCGGATAAACTCTTCTCCGAATCACTGGCAAACTTTTGTCGCCAACCGCGTCGTCAAGATTATTGAAAATTTACCAGCCGCTAATTTTCATCACCTCGCGGGAATAAATGACCCAGCTGATTGTTTATCGAGAGGTCTTACACCCGCAAAGCTAATATCTCATCGATTGTGGTCAAATGGTCCACTCTGGCTCGCGCAAGACCCCTCGCTGTGGCCTATCAAAAATATAGACCATAATAGTATAGCGCTAGACAACGTACCGGAAGAGAAAATAACCGCACACCCCATTACTACATCAGATCCAGAAATGTCTCTTGTTCAGTATATTAATAAACGCATCTCCTCATGGAGTAGACTTATGCGTATCCTTGTATGTCTGCAGATTTATAAATAAATTACCTCTTTCCGGTTCGATAGCTGTTACCTCGTTCGATATATGCGCCGCCGAACATATGATAATAAACGACATTCAAAACAGACATTTTGCATACGACATCCTACAGCTAGGAGCCGGTAATGATTGCTCTTACGCGCTAATGAAGTTTAAACCATTTTTATGTGACGGCCTTATCCACGTTGATGGCCGCCTTACCAACTCCGCTGAAAGTTCAGAATACAAATATCAGATTATTTTACCGCGTCGCGACGCTCTTGTAGAGTCGTTGATCGACTACTATCATAAAAAATATTTACACGCCGACCCAGAGCTGCTCATGTCTTTGTTAAGGCAACGATTTTGGATCTTTTCTGCTAGACGAATTATTCGGTCTAAAATTAATAAGTGTAACACTTGCTTTAAATTAAAACCGCGCCCGCAATTTCCTTTAATGTCTGCTCTTCCAGGACATAGAGTCACGCAAGTAGATAAAGCCTTCGCTCATACTGGCTGTGATTATTGCGGCCCTATATCGTATACGCCCACACGAGCTCGCGGTGTTAAAACTCGCAAAGCTTACCCATGTATTTATATTTACTTGTCTTACTACGCGCGCACTCCACATCGAAGTAACCACGGACCTTTCCGCATGGAGTTTTTGTCGCAGCTTTAAAGCGCTTCCTATCACGACAGGGCGTGAAGTGGGACTAACTTGATCATGGTACAAATCTTGTAAGCACGCGATCTTATTTACGAGACTTATATAATTTTATCACAAGGGAATGTCGCCCGCGTTTAGAAGAAGAATTGGCCGAAAGTCGCATTGAATTCAAGTTTATAGCGCCTTCCGCCCTACATTTCGTGGGTTGTTGGGAGAGTATGGTGAAATGCGTAAAGAACCATCTTTTTAACCCTTAAATGGACAATGTTTTTTTTAAACAACATACTAAACATCACAGATAAAATTATCTTCATTTTATTTTTTTTGTTAATTTTGACAACTAGTTCTTATTTCTGAACGAATTTTGTACTTTTTTTAATGTTGGCACTATCCAATATTTTTATGCATTAAAAATAAATGAATGTCAAATGTCACTTTGAAGAAAACTTTTCTAGTGGCACGAAACTAAGTTTTGAAGCTGTGTTCGGACTTTGATAAAATATAATGTAAGTATATAACATATTTTTATTTGCTTGATTATATCTTCAATTACATGTTCATGTTGTAAAACATTGAAAATTACTTGATGCTACTGTCGAATTACGCGAAATCTGGTATGTTGTAGGAAAAATACAATGCGCATTGCCTGCTAAATAAATGCATGTTTGGTGAAGGGTTTTATTTTGCTTTTCAGCATGCCGCGATTACTAGAAAGCGAAATTACAAAGTATTTAGAAACTCTTGAAGATTCAGAAGATGGCTTAGACGGCTCGGACTCCGAAGTAGAGGATGAAGGTCACTATTATCAAACAGCTCGAGATGTTCTTCAGTACCTTGAAAATAGTGATGAAGGTGAGAATGCCCAGTCTGATGAAGTGGATGCTGATCCTCCTCTCGTAATTGACAACGATCAAAATATGCCAGACCCTCCTATTTTGGAAGCCGGAGAAGCAGTACCCCAGAGTAGATCACAAGGGATTTCTAAGCGACCTCTGGTTTGGCGAAAACGGAATCTTGTTACTGCTGAAGACAGCCTTATTTTTAGGGGAGAAACTCAGATAACGGAAGCATTGATGTCTTGTAACACGCCGTATGATTTTTTTTTCATTTTATTTTACATCAGATCTAAAAAAGCAAATTGTAGAACAAAGTAACTTATACGCGGCCCAGAAACAAATATCCAATCCTGAAATTATAAATGAAAATATCCTAAATAAATTCCTAGGCATTCTGATTTACACCTCAGTCATAAAATTTCCAAACACCAGGGCTTACTGGAGTGATAAATTTGGTTATGATCACATAAAAAATACGATGCCGTTAAAAAAATTTGAAAAAAATAAGATCCACTCTCCATTTTGCCGACAATACGCTATGCTTACCCAAAGATCATCCAGACTATGACAGGCTATTCAAAATAAGACCTCTTGAGGAAATGCTCAACTGCCAGTTTGGAAAGGTTCCCTTAGACCAAAGGCTTTCCATAGACGAGCAGATGTGTGCAACCAAAATGAGCCATTACATAAAACAATACATGCCCAATAAACCCCACAAGTGGGGGGTTCAAATTATATCTCATCTGCAGTCTACAAGGATATGCTCATAGATTTGAGGTTTACAGTGGAGGGGGCTCCAAAAATAACATCTTACCTGGTGAGCCAGATTTGGGAGAGTCTGGAAATACAGTCGTCAGGTTAGCTAGAATGGTACCACGCAATGTGAATCACATTATATACTTCGACAACTTCTATACTTCTGTGCCTCTCGTCACCTATTTAGCTAAGGAAGAAATTTTCTCACTGGGAACAGTAAGAGTAAACCGATTGAGAAACTGCAAATTGCCTGACAAAAACACTATAATGAAAAAGAACGTACCCAGAGGATTCTATGAGGAAAACGTGGCGACTGTGGATGATATTGACGTAAGTGCTGTTGTGTGGAAAGATAACAAGCCCGTTAACCTTCTTTCCACTTACGTAGGAGCAGAACCAGCAACCACAGTCACGCGCTTTGATAAATCGAAGAAAGAGAGAGTTGCTATTCCATGCCCCAAAGTCATCAAGGAGTACAATGCTCACATGGGGGGCGTGGACTTATTAGATTCATTTATAGGTCGTTATCACATCACAATGAAGAGCCGCAAGTGGACCATGCGCTTATTTTATCATTTCCTGGACCTCGCAGTTATAAATTCATGGGTTATGTTCAAGAAGGTAAATAATATAAAAGGAAATGATCAACTTCTCAATTTGGGTACATTTAGACTAGAACTTGCCGAAACCCTCTGCAAATTGGGTCTACCTGCAAATGGCGCTAAACGTGGTCGACCTAGTGGGAGCACAATACAAAGAGAACTTGTAATGAAGAAGTTCCGAGGACCAGCTCAAGCAATTCCTTTGAAAGACGTCAGATTGGATCAGACATGTCATTGGGCAGTTTGGCTGGATAAGCAGCAGAGGTGCAAATTCCCGAAATGTTCAGGATTTACGTTCAAAATGTGCCAAAAATGTCGTGTATCTTTATGTGATACGAAAAAAAGCAATTGTTTTTATAAATATCATAATTTAGAATAAATAAACACATTTCAAAAACAATATCCACTCTTATTTTACCCATACTTGCAAAATGTCATTGAATGCGCAATGTAGTTTATAAACAACACTCACATTATTGCAAAAAAAAAAATAGTAAATTCATGTCTAGATTTTTTTACTCATTTTTCCTAGACAGTAATACATGTCTATTATACAAATATATTTTTTTAAAACGTAAAAAAAAATCGTCCATTTAAGGGTTAAGGTTATTGGACAGCAGATCTTTGCGTATGAAGAGTTAATCACAGTCCTCGCTCAAATAGAATGTTTACTAAACTCTCGTCCTCCGACTGTGCTTAGCTCCGACCCAGCTGAACCGACGGCTTTAACACCCGCACACTTTTTGAATACGTTACCATTAAGCTCTCTACTTGCACCTGATATAGAATCTTCGCCAATCAATTCTCTTCCACGATACGCGCTCTTAGACAAATTGGTCCAGTCCTTCTGGCGTCGTTGGAGAACTGAATATTTGCATCAACTGCAGGTGCGTCAGAAAAGGACTCAATCCTCGGTCACCGCAGAGGTTGGCACAGTAGTCATAATTATAAATGGTAAATCGCCTACCCTCTCCTGGCCTTTGGGAGTGATCGTAAAGGTTCACCCGTCCAAGGACGGTAAAGTTCGCGTTGCTACAGTAAAAACGGCAAGGGGTACACTCGTGCGACCAGTGGTGCGTTTGTGTACGGTTGTGATGATTTACTTCAGTAAGTGGCCAGAAGTCTTCGCCATTCCAAATCAAGAAGCTTCAACAGTTGCAAATAAACTAGTTCATGAAGTCTTCTGTCGTTTTTGAGGACCTTTAGAAATTCACAGCGATCAAGGAAGGAATTTTGAGTCTCAAATATTCCAGGAAACTTGCC